CCTCTCGAAACTCAGGAAACAGTGAAGACAATGTAAACACTTTCCTTTTGTGCACTAGCACGTCCTGTTTACGTGGCTGCGGGTGCAGGAGGAGCAGCTGGAGCTGTCCCCACCATGCTTCTCCCGCTGCCAGTGGCTGCAGAGCTGGCTTGCTCCCACCACATCGTCTTTGCCGTGCTGCCGCTCGTGCAGGGGATGTAACTAGGGCGTGTTGCACCCCAGCTATTTCTAGTACACGTAGGAGTCGTCCTAGGGAAAAAAACTTAAGTCTCTCCTTCAGAACAAGCTTCTCCAGTGCAGAGACGCAGAAGAGAGGAGCTACATTTTTTTTTAACCTTAGCCACAAAGTGTAAAACGTATCCCGTAGTCTTTAATTATATGTTCACACCCTATTTCTCAAAAGATATCACAACTCTGACACAGCTATATACATGTAGCAGCTTCTGAAACTGTTTTTTTTCACTGCGTCTGACAGAGAAACAAAAAATGCTAAACTACTTTACATGGAAAACACACTGTGAACCTCTCCTATTTAATCTACAAACGAAGTAATAAACTGTGATGGAAGATGTAGGCTAAGTCTGCATCACTGCTAATTGCTCCACTGCTTACATGCTCAAAAAGGAGAAGCTGTACAGAACATACTGACCAAGGAACATCCCTGCAAACACCTATTACAGAGTCTGCACTCCCTCTTAACTTGTAAATAGGTCCAACAACCTTCATGTTTGCTATTGTCTGAAGAATTACATCTCAAATGTACATATGCATGACTCGTCATATTTGCAGTGATACTATTATACCATTATATTTCACAGCAACTTGATATAATGTATTGACACTTTTCCCATAGTGTATATATATCCATTAAAAACTGACAAATAAGACTACAGAATGAGCGTGTGTGTACATGCACACACCTGCAGACACACAGTCCCACATACAAAGCTCTACAGGTCAAGCACTGGAAAGCATTTTCTCGTGCCCTGCATCGATGAGACTGTATCCATATCCACAGATGTAGATGCAGACGTTCCAGAAAACATACTTTTGCTACTGTAACAGATCTAATAACAATGCTGTTTCCAGCAAAAGCAGAATGGCCTGGCACTTACAGTCTGGGGTAGTAATACATGGAAGATTTAATAACAGCAAAGGGCATTTCTTGGAGGCAATCACAGAGTACACTCTCGACTGTCTTCTTACTTGGTACCTGTTTGAAGTGCCAGAAAGCTGACTACCCTTTAGACACTAAAATTGTGCCAACGTTAGTTACCAGACCTCACTGAAACTGCAACTACATAGTGTGAACCTGTATTTCTACACACTACTAACTGTCAAGAAGCATTTGCTCTTCCAAATCTTCCAGCTCTAAAAGGTGGCATTTTTGTCTTCCAGATGTCAAGATTTTCTCTCTTTTCTATGAGAAGCACAGCTCTTTCAAAACTTTACCTTCAGGTACCTCCAGGACCTCTGAATGACCACAGTGGTCATTAAGCCCAGCTGAGACAACCCTGTTTGCTCCTCAGGGTGATACAGTTCTGCAGTGTGTGCCATGGGAATGAAAACCAAGAGAGCTGTTACTGCCAATGATTTCAGCTGTTCACCAAACTACCAACCCACAGTATACAGCAGACAAAATGATGTCATCTTGGGATTTCGTCAGACCCAGCAAGGGTGGCTGCGATCAGTTATTGTCTCAAGACTTAAAAAATTGAGAATCTCTTTTAAATTAAGGTGGAAGTTCCACCTTTGTGAATTATTTTCTGACACCTAGGTTACTATGTTCACTGCTTTACTTGATACAGTTCACAGAACTGACCAAATTACCTAGGATCATGACTGGGTACTAGGAATTTCAAGAATATCGTGTTTGGCTTGAGGTTTTCTGTTTGGAAGCGACAACTCACCAAGCTTCTTTATTCTCTCTGTGTTAAATTCTGTTTCCAGGTCCAGATTCATTATACAACGATGAATACAGAAAATTTACCATTCTGCATGGATTCAGTGTACATGAATTGTTGTTCAACTAAAGACCTGTCAAGAGTGGATCAGGTGAAAAACATGGCTTTGCATCTACCTCTGACATGTTTCTCTTTCAGAAGTTTTGAAATTACTTCTCCAAATTACACTTTGCTCTATAAGTGTTAATACATTTATGGGGGAATTAAGTTCATATTTGACCTCCAGATTGTGAAGCACTTATCTCTCCAAAAACAAATTCATACATAGTGAACATTTTAGACTGCTCAGCCTTCCATTTTGAGAGCAATGTAGTAATAGCAGTTTCTTGTATCAAAGATTAATCTCAGATGATTTCAGACACGCACGCCTCAGCTGGTCACTGTATTTTACATCTTCCTAGCCTACCTCAGGCAACTTATTTTAGCATGAGACAGATTATCAACTCATGATGCTTTTTTCCCCTCC